CCTCCTCCGCTCCCGGCCTGGTCCCTTCCCCGCCCGTCTGAGGGCCCCGACCCGTCCCCCCACACGGGCAGGGCTCCCCGGGCCCGGGAGCCGCGAAGAGCCGGGCAAGCCCCTGCCCCGGGGGTGGTTTTGGGGCTCTTTTCCTGGTGCGACTTAAAATGCCATTTCTTGTCTCAAGGGCTCTATATAGCACTTTATTTATCACCTAAGCTATCAGAACAACACGCAGGTGTTGGATCAACAGCAGCCTCGGGTCTGGCTCGATGTGGAGACTGGGATTAGGTAATCAAATTAATGCGAAAGATTGGGGTTCTTCTTAAATCCCAGTTAAGGAATTGTTCTCAAGCCTGTCAAATCAGAATACCGCTAAACGGCTTAACGGTGACAACTATTCCACTTCAAAAGCCCAAACCGCAGTTTCAGAGGGCAGTCGCGAGGCTGCTTTTCCAGCTGGCTGGCACGTGTATTTAAAGCTTTATAATTGCAGTACTATCACTTCTAAGCAGACAGGCTTATAGCCAAGGAGAACATCCGTGGTTTGACTTAACAGGGCCATCGAGAGTGCCCGCAGAGGAAATTAAACTGTTAGAAAGTTTTCCTTCCCAGCTCGTGGGCCTCGGTCCGTCCGTGCCCCATCGTGCTCTGCCGGCTCCGAGGGGTGGCGGACCGGAGGGCGGCGAGCCGGCTGCGATCCTCCTCCTCTTTCAGGAATGACACAAAAGCCTCAAGTCGCTCAGCCCACCTTTGATGCGGAATCCACCTCGATGCATGCATTTGTGGTATTTAGGAGTGCTTAAACGTGGGCAGCTGATTTCTCGATGCTTGTAGGAAGGGGAGCAGCACAGCTGGATCCGGATGGCGACGCTCTAACGACCGCTGCATCCCTCCAGCAGATCTCTGCCTGCGGAGGGAAATGCTTATCAGCGGGAGAGCCGTGATCAGCGATTATGTGGCATCCTCTTTTGGGGCGACGTGTTGTAAAGACCCCGGAGCGTCAGCCAGGTGACCCTCGAGGTAAGGCTCAGCTGCCTGATTTGGGGTTTTCCCTGCCTCGTGTCGTGGTGTGGGGATGCATCAGGGGCGAGGTGCATTTTCTGCCTGCGTTGGTTGATTTTTGATGAACAGAAGTAATGCAGACGGGGCAGGGAGTCTGCCTGGCCTTGCTGGGTGAACGGCCTCAGCTCACCAGTTCACGGAGAGTTACCCACCGTTCCGGTGGATAAATCCTAACACAAAATCGATCGACAGAGAGTGCCTGCTCTGCCTTCCCCCCATCACCCCAGAGGATCTTCCCCTTCCTCCTGACAGGGCAGGAGCATCTGAGGGTGCAGTCGCCTGGTGCCGAGCCACCATGTCCTTTCTGACACCTCCCGTAGTGCTGCCAGGCCCGCACCAGCGATCCCCCCCTCTTCCTTGCCACCCAGCGGTGGGTCCCAGCTCCCCACCCGGCCCTGGCACCTCTTTGCCTCCGGGCTCGCTCCCTCCCCAAAGTGCCCCAGCCCCCTTTCCTGGAACCCCTGCTCCCCCACCAGCTCCGATTCCCCCGGTCCCTTTGCGCTGGCATCCCCAGAGCTGCTCCTAACCCCAGCCCCGCAGCCCATCCAGGCGCCTTCTAGCCCTGGCCTGGTGTCCCCCTGCCCAGTCCCTGCCCTGGTGTGGCCCCGCTCCCCACGGCCGTGCCCCGCTGGCCCCGCAGGGGATGCCACCACTGGAAGGGATGGGCTGGGCTCCTCCCCAACCCACTGGACACCCCCCCCCGGGACACCCTGGGCTCGGGGCCATCCCATGGGCTGTGTGGGGCTGGGAGGCCCTGGGTTTGGGGTGGCCCCATGGGCTGTGCGGGACCCCAAGTTTGGTGTTGCCCCATAGGTTGTATGGGGCGCTAGGCTCAGGGCGACCCCCTAGGCTACGTGGGGGTGCAGGGCCCTGGGCTTGGGGCAGCCCCACGGGCTGTGCCTTGGGACAGCAGTGTTCCCATAGGCTGTATGGGGAGGCCCCATAGGCCGTGTGGGGCTGCATAGCCCTGGGCTCAGAGCAGTCTTCTAGGCTGTGTGGGGCCTTTGGGCTCGGGGTGACCCTACGGGCTTTGTGGGGCTGCAAGGCCCTGGACTCGGGGTGGCCCTGCAGACCGCGTGGGGCCGCAGGGCTTGGGATGGCCCCAAAGGCTGTGGGGGGTCCGTGGAGCCCCCGACTCGGTGTAGCCCCTCGGTGAGGCCAGCTGGTGCAGGCTGGTTCTGTGCTCCTGCCACGGGATGCAGGGGACTCTTCTAGCACCCTTTGCATGGTTTGCTACCCAAAAGTGCCAGCTGGGTGCTCCCCCGAGCAGCGGGAGAGTCACCTTGTTTTTCCTGCTCTCCCAGGATGTGCGGGCAGGGTGGTGCCCGAGCTGGGGTGCAAGGCAGAGCACCCCGCAAAGCCCAAACCCCCGTGTTCGGCTATGCACGGTGCTGCCCAGCGCTTGGGAGCTTGCGAGTTTGCGGGGTTTGCTTATTGCGGGGGTTGCAATGGGCTGTGTCACGGCCTGGGAGCGCAGCTGGGTTTGTCTCGGTGGTGCTGATGAGCGGTTTTGGGAACAGGGCAAGTCAGATCATCTTTTATGAGGCTGGTAAAGCTGTTGATTGTGGGTTGAGCGGGGCCGAGTCACCTACTGCGGCCATTTGGGGGGGTGTGAGTGGAGCGGTTTGGCTGGAAGAGCTGAACTAGATTAGAGATTATTGTTTGGTTCTTTGCTAATCCCTAATCTCTTAACGCTTCTCTGGGTGGTAACGCTTGAATCAGAAGCAGGTGTGGACCCACCCCGGAGGTGGGCGTTGAGCTTCCCTGCTTCTACGTGGGAGAGAGCAAGTTGGGGAGACGTCGCCGGGTTTGGTGCAAACACAAGGTGGCAGCTGGGCTCGTTGTTCCCGTTTGCTGCCGTCTGCCGAGCCCATCACCCCGTGAGCAGAGCAGCCGGCAGTTGTGGGGCAGTTTCTCAGACTCTGCCCTGAGCTACCCCAGACTGGGAGCCAAGATCGGCCCTCCTGCCTGTCCTCTGAACTCAGCTGAAGCAGGGAACGAATGTGTGTGTGCTCATCCCTACATCAGCCCCAGCTCAGAAAAAGAGTAGTTTTGTGCAGTTATCACCACCCAGCTCTGCTATGGAGAGAGGAGGGCTTCTCCTGACACTTAGAAGCACCGTGAGGTCTCCTGGGGCTAGGAAAGATGGCTAAAAGCCATGGCAAACCGGTGAGTTCAGATATTACGCTCTCGTATCAGCGTTGGTTGGGCTGTGCTTTGCTTTCCCTTGTTTCACCTTGGAGCCTTAACAGTCTTGTTAGTGAGGAAACGTGCCGTGTCTTTCAGATGTCTCCTACTGAAATCAGAAAGGCTTTTCACTGCCAGGGTGAGTGTTGTATCAGGTCTCTGAGGAGATGAGGGCTCCTGCAGAGCTGTTCTCCCCGCAGCCCGTTGTGCACGGATGGAGGCAGAGCTCCCTGGATCATCTCCTCGCTGTTGACTTACGGAGGGTTTGCTGATGGCCACATCTGTGGGGTTATAAAAGGTTTTTTGCAGTAAATGGAGCTCTGGCAGCTCTGTCTGTTTTGATTCCTGCCTTCTGGTGAGCGCTGTTGGGATGTAACTTAATTTAGGGATTTAATTTAAGGACTTGAGTGACTCATTTGGGGAAGAAGCCAAATTTAAGGAATTTAAGGACTTAAGTGGCTCATTTGGGGAAGAAGTGGAGCAAGGTAGTGATACAGCTGCTGAATGGTTGGGACCTGGCTGAGGAGACTGAGGAGAGCGGTTTGGTTCTGTTTCTGCTTTTCTCTCTCATGAAAACTTAACAAAAAGCAGAAGAGATTTGCAGTAAAAAGAGCTGAGGGCTGTTTGGAGCTCCGTTTCTAATTGCTAACTGACCTTGTTCTTTAATAGGGTTTGTGTATCCCCAAAGCCGACGGTTCCCTTCCTCTTTTAGCAGATCCGAGGAGAAGAGCCAGGATGCCGCATCGCACCATTCATCTTTTCCGGAAGGGACTTCGGCTTCATGACAACCCAACGCTGCTGGCCGCGCTGGAGTCCTCGGAGGTCGTCTACCCTGTCTACATCCTGGACAGAAAGTTCATGACGTCCGTGATGCACATAGGGGACCTGCGGTGGCATTTTCTGCTGCAGTCCCTGGAGGACCTCCAGAAAAACTTGTGTCAGCTGGGCTCTTGCTTGCTGGTTATTCAAGGAGAGTACGAGTCTGTTCTTAGAGATCACATCCAGAAGTGGAATATCACGCAAGTGACTCTGGATGCGGAGATGGAACCATTTTACAAGGAAATGGAGGCCAGCATACGACGTCTGGGAGAAGAGCTGGGGTTTGAGGTGCTTTCTCTGGTGGGCCACAGTCTGTACGATACCAAACGGTACGTGGTTGCCCGAAAGACCAGTGAGGTGTCTCCAGGAGGGTTTATTTTGGATTTAGCAAGCATCAGGGAGAAAAGGCCAAGTAGCTTGGTCCTTCTGGATCCTAATGTGTTCCTTTTGAGAAAATTGGACTATCTGAGATGAATGTGGCACTGTTTGCTGGAGAATTTTTCTGTGTTGGTCTGCTGGAAGTCACAGAAGAGATTTTGCCCAGGTGTTAGAATGTTGGGCTGTGATTTGAGTCTAAAGAGTTTGTTAATTTTTTCCCCTTTCGGCAGTTTAATTCACTTCAAAACTTACATTAGCTACTCTTTTAAACAGAGTGGAAGAAATTCCTGAACACATTTAATAGGACTTTTATATAAATTTTTTGTGTCAGATCCTTTTATATCTTTCTAATCTACTTTCACCGGAGCTGGATAGGCCTTGATCTAAGCTGTTACTCAGAGCTGAATGACTGAAGATATTGAAATTAATAATAACAGGGAGGTGATCAGTAATAGCCAAAACAACCTTAACGCTCCAATTCTGGAAAGCCCCTAATTTACGTAAATGGCGGGATGCGTGTGACTTGCCGCCTTGAGTTCAAGCTGTCTGTTTGCACAGGTGGTTGCTCACACAGAAGAGTTATTTACTGCCCTGAACCTGTTTGTTTTTGGGATCGGGCTGCCTCTGGCAGCCCCAGAGGTGTTCTGCCCCTTGCGCTCTGCCATCCTGGCTATGTCTGGCTGTACAGAGCTGCCCAGTTGAAACTGTGGCTGGGCATCCTGGTCCCGCGTTTGTTGTCTCAAGTCCTGAGAGACTGCTCTCAGGATGGATGTACGTTCACCCAGGGAAGTTTTACTTGTAGAATCTGTAATTTCCACATTCAGTTGCATGAACTGAGGCTGTTCCGGCCTGTGCTGTCACCTTCCTATCCACTGGCAGCTCCAGCTTCCTTCTTGGTTTATATTATGGTGAAAAGTGACCTTGTTTTACTTAGGATTTTGGACCTGAACAGTGGGACTCCCCCATTAACATACAAGCGGTTCCTTCACATTCTGTCTCTGCTTGGCGACCCTGAGGTGCCTGTCCGAAACCTTACAGCTGAAGACTTCCAGTAAGTAAAACCCTGTAACAGTAACAGTAACATCCAGTAACACCTGCAGGAAATTGCAGGTCCTTTTTTTCTGCCCCAAAAAAGAAGAGCCAGGGCCACGGCGTGTTTTAGATGTTGCGTTGCATTACTTCTGTGCGTGGAGGGTTATCGATTGTACGTACAGGGGAGGGGATTCTGCCGTTGGGAGGGGAGAGCAGATGAGAGGGGGCGCAGTCCAAAGACTTAAGCTTTTGCAAGGCACATTGAGACAGACTTATAAGGTATGTAAAAGTTTAACAGAGGAATGACTAAGGAATTACAGGTTGGTCTCTCAAAGGCATGCTTCCTCACGAATCAAGATTCAAGGCAGGAACTGGATGAACCACTGTAGTTTGTTTTATGCGGGAAGTTTGGTGGAATAATCATACTGTTCCCTTCTGGCTTTAAATCCTTCTCTCCTCCCCTCTGCTGTATGGGAAGGAGAGACCGAGCTCATGTCTCCCAGGGCTTGAGAAGCAGCTCAGAGTCAAGGATGTCTTATGTTTGGCTCCGCGTGAGGAGAGGTCAGTGATCCAAAGGGAGGTAAGATTGGGGTAGGAGAGAGCTGGCCACTGGGGATGGGACTGCAGATACTTGGGACTTGTGTCAAGCGCCTCCTGTGTGCCCTCAGCTCTGTGTCGGTAACCTAGGCTTAGGTCTTCCCATCTTGCGGGAATCCTGTTAATTCCTGAATGTGGTCCTCAGATAGTCTGATGATAAGACCCATGTAAGTATTGGGATATAGCCGTTCCTATATTTTTTTCTTGCACTGTTTTTTTTTTTTTTTTCCTTTTTTCCCTAATTTGTTTATTTGCACTTTTTAAATTAATGATGATGAGAGCTAAGTGGTTCACAAGCTTCCCAGCAGGCCTGTGTTACGTCAGTGCTCTGAGAGCTGCACTGGCCCCTTCTTCTGTAGGTGTCTGCAACAGAGCTGAGCTCAGTTTTTTCCAGGTAGGTAGAAAGACCTCTGTTGGTATCTGAGTCCATTCATGGTTTTTGAGAAGTCTGCGTACCGCTGACACTTCCTTGAACCTCCTCTGTGTTTTACAGGGGGGAAGGTAACCATACCCTGATGCTCCTCCAGCCTCACAGGGGGCAGAGGCCTTGGGGAAGCCTCAGCAGCTGAGGCTGCAGAAGAGATGTGGGGGGACTGCTCAGAGGTGGGGGCTTGGGGAGCCCCCACCTTGGTTAGGAAGGAGCAGCTGGGGGGGGCGGCCCAGGGAGCTGATCTGCCTCCTTCCCTATGAAACCTCTCCGAGAGCGACCTCTCCTCAGAGGCACGGGAGCTGGAGCGGCCTTTGGAGGCAGTGCCAGTGCCCCATAATTACGTTTAGAGTCTGAGGAGGCTCTTGGCTCCCTCCCAGGGATGGATGAGACAGCCGGGGGAAGCTGGAGAGGAGGTGCCTCCGAGCCTCACGTAGCGGATGGGAGGCCAGAGGGGTGTCTGAGCTGTGGGGGCTGCAGCCGACTGCTCTGAGCGCTGTAATTTGGTGGGTCTGTTCCTTTTCCCCCAGTTCAGGCTAGCATTACCTGGAGCGATTGCAGAACGAGCTCTTACGCAAGGAGAGTGCAGCCTGGGGTTTCTGGCTGTGCTTTCGTTCCCCTGCGCTCTGGCTGTGCCACAACAGAGGAGATCTTGGCGTGTGCAATGGGCAGGGGTCTTCCTCCCTCTTCTGGCTCCAGTTCCCTCTTTGAAAGAGGCCTCTCTCTCACATTAGGAGATGTAGGCCCCCTGACCCGGGCCTGGCTGAGTGTTACAGGGTGCCCCTCCCCGTGGATTTGAAGATCTCCCTGGAGAGCCTTTCCCCCTGGAGAGGAGGGGAGACCGAAGGGCTACAGCGCCTGGAGCAACACTTGACTGACCAGGTCAGCCTTGATTTTACATGGGTGATGATGGTGGCTCTAGATGGGCTGAGGTTACCGTCCCCCTTGCTCCTTTTATGTGTCCGGACGCCAAGAAACCACTCAGCTGTTCCAGCTCTAGCTGAGTTCTTCCCCGCCGGGGCTCGGCTCTTGGCAGCCAAGCCTGCCTTGGTGCTGGCTGCTTTTAAGCAGATGCTTTACCCGCTCCCAGCTTCATAAAGTAGAAAAGGTCTTCAGTGCAGCGCTGTTGCACTGAGAGAGCTGTTCCCCGTGTCACAAAATCACCCGGCTCTCTGGGGAGAGCAGAGCTTCACAGCACCCACGGGTGAGACGTGGCCTTGACGTTGGGCTTGGAGGAGGTCTACGTATTTGAAGATCTTGGAGGAGGACGGCAGCCTGGTCTCAAGACGTTGTCCTTGATGGTGGCATCTGCGGGAGGATGGGCGGTGAGAGCATTTTCCAGGCATGACATTGAACAGGCCCCTGTGATGCAGAAGCCAATTGCCGAGAGTTTTTGCCCTGTTTCATTAGCTGGACATGTGTCACCTTGTACTGTCTGAACCTGGATTTCTGTTTTCATTTTAGGGCTGGGTGGCAAGTTTCACTAAACCGAGAACAATCCCAAATTCACTGCTTCCAAGCACCACAGGCCTGAGCCCGTATTTCAGTATGGGCTGTCTGTCAGTTCGCACCTTTTTTTATAGGTTGTCAAACATTTATGCTCAGGTAAGAAAATAATTGGTCATAGTTAGGCAAATCCAGCGCTCTCACGTGTCTGGCGTGTGAGGCTAGGATTTAACACTCGGATCATCTTAGTAGAGACCTGGTGCATCAAAAAATGCTACTTTGCTAGTGTCTTCTCACAGAGTCCTATGAAATCTGTGAGTGGCTTTATATGTTGTGTGAAACACCTGTGAACGTATACAGCTTTTCCCAATTAAGTTTTAGAAATATGATAAATAGGGAGCAATGAGACCTGGAAGCAGCAGGGAAGCCCAGGAAAACCCTCCTAAAATTCAAGGAGTTCAAGACGTCTGCCAGATGTTTAAGTGAAGTTTTTGATCAGTTTAGCCTGTTCAAGCAGTTTTGTTTGTAGAAAGCATCTGTTTTCATCTTAGAGAAGTTTTAACTATGGCATAAGCCAAAACCAACTTCTGAAAACTTGTTTGATTCTTAAGAAACAGAATGGTTGAAAACAACCCAAGAAAACCAAGGTCTCCCTGAACCTCCTTCTTAAGAGTATCTCGAGATGTGCCTGAGCCACCTGAATTCAGCAAGCCGAGCAGTTAATATGTTAATAAACGCATGTTTGGTTTAAGAAATCCCAGTGTGACACCATTTTGGAAGGCAGATGGAGAATGTTTGGGGTAACGCTGAGGTCTAACAGAGTTCAGCTTTGCTTTTGGGCATATAGCATTGCTTCAGATCTTTGATTTCTTTGGCTTTCATGGTGAAGTGCCATGAAGCCAGTAGTGCAGTTAGATTAATCTTTATTTTATGGGCCTGACAGTCACAAAATGAGTGAGACTGCAATGGTATAGATGAACTGAAGCTTTCACCTCATGTGTCTTTTGCAGGCCAAGCATCACTCTCTGCCCCCAGTGTCGCTCCAAGGGCAGCTTCTGTGGAGGGAATTCTTCTATACAGTGGCGTCAGCAACACCAAACTTCACCAAAATGGCTGGGAACCCCATCTGCCTTCAGATCAGTTGGCGTGAGGATGCAGAGAGGCTCCACAAGTGGAAAACGGTAACAGGATGTATTGCCACAACTGCTACGTTTCAGTTTAGAGCTTTTCTGTTGCCCGGAGGTTGTTCCCTGATGGCTATTTGAGGTGGGGCTTACAGCACCGTGTAGAAAAGAAGCGTAATGAAGCTTCGTGCAGGAGGGCGGATGTTTCTTTTCTGCTGCAGGCACAGACGGGGTTCCCGTGGATCGACGCGATTATGACCCAGCTGCGCCAGGAAGGCTGGATCCATCACCTTGCTCGGCACGCTGTTGCCTGCTTCCTGACGCGGGGGGACCTTTGGATCAGCTGGGAAGAGGGCATGAAGGTTCACTTCTGGTTTTTGGTTTTCTCTGTTCTGGCTGACCTTGAGAAACGCCTGCAAAATGTGAGCCTGGCAGTGGGAGGTGTACTGTCGAGTAGTGCTTCGTTACTGAGCCTCACTAGAAATCTCATGGTTTATGAAATCTCATGGTCTCTCGCTCGAGTCCGAGCCCTGCTGTGCTGGGCTCAGCGGTGAGAGGTCGTTCCCATCCCCAAGGCCTGGCGATTTTGGATGGTGAGGATATTGGAGACCTCCTCAGTCTGCAGCAGGCCTCAAAGCCAGAGCTTTGGGCTTTGGGTTGCTCTGTCGCTGGGTCCTGCTCTAGCTTCCTTCTGGCAAACTGTCTTGCTGGAGAGCCTTCCCTGTGTGCCCTGTGAGGAGGGTAGCCCAGAGCAGCACAGTGCCAAGCTTCACCCTTCATCTCCCAGCCTGTTGTGTTTTTTTTACCACAAAGGCAGCCATTTCAGGGGTGTTTCTCTCTTTCTCTTCCTGTCCCGGACACGCAGGTGTTTGAAGAGCTGCTTTTAGATGCTGACTACAGCATCAACGCGGGGAACTGGATGTGGCTGTCGGCCAGCGCTTTCTTCCACCAGTACACACGGATCTTCTGCCCTGTCCGCTTTGGGAGGCGCACGGACCCCGAGGGGCAGTACATCCGGTGAGGCGATGCACGGCACGGCACCGTCTGCTCCGTTAGTGCTTCCCTGGCTCCACTTACAGCAGGAGCTGGTGAACTCGGGCTGTTTGGAACACGTACCCCTGTGGAACAGGGGTCACAGCAATGATTTTATTGAACACATAAGGAAACTGAGGCACAGAGAAGCAAAGAGAGATACCCGTGGTTGCACAGGTGATGACTGAGCAGGGCATCGTATTGATTTGCGAGCACTTGTCGGCTCCAGCACCGTGTTTGATCACCAGGCTGGCTCCTCTTTCTAAAGGACCCGAGTAAAACTTCCCACAGCTCCCCTCGCTCCAGTCTGTGCTGTGTTTCTTGGTTTTGTAGGGGGTCCGATTCATTTCAGACACTTGAGTTTTATTTCCCACTCCGAGTGAGTCGTCTTTGCTTCAAAGCCTCAGTTTCCTTATCTCTAGATAAGGTACTGACGGGCTTTCTCATAAGTAGTGGGTGTTACAGCTGACTGCAATAGGGGCAGGCTGTGGTGGTGTCTGAGCACACAACTCAATTTCCCCACACCTCCTCTTCCTCACGTCCTGTCCAGCTTTGTGTCTTGTCACGGGGAAGCCCACGCTGACACACCTGACAGAGTGGGGCAGAACATGGCTTTTCTGTTCCGTAAGAATTTTTTAGATTTTTAAAAATTTGTTTGGTTTTGAAATTTATTAGGGTTTAGAACAAAATGTCAGTGAAAATATTAAAAACAAAAATATTTTGGATGAAGTAAAAACTGAAGTAATGTTTAAATCAACCCATTTATTCTTTGCTGTAAAGTTAACTTTTGGAAGATACCACCCTACGGAGGGTTTCAGAGCATAAAAACAATTCTGTGCAAAATGAATCAGACCTTCCCCAGGGATTGTGGTATCAGTACGATCACCAAGAATTAATATGGCATAGGCTGGTTTACGCTTCTCTTAAATGTCTGAGTATTTGTCTGGAGGATTATAAAACCCCATATTATTCCTGTTTTGTAGGAAATACTTGCCTATACTAAAGAACTTTCCCTCCAAGTACATCTACGAGCCCTGGACAGCATCTGAAGAGGAGCAGAAGCAAGCGGGGTGTATCATAGGTAATTCATTCGGATGCCTTGCTAAGGATTTTGCTGCTGCTAACTGTCCAAAATAATTACATGTGTGAGACGGAAGCGTCACACTTCCAACACGTGTCATGCATTTATCTTCTGAAAATGCATTAATCCAGCAGTCTACCTTCTGTCAATTCTCCTTTAAAGTTTTTTACTGGAGTCTAATTTCAGAGTACATATTTTTGCCTCAACTTCATGTTCTAAAACTACTGCATCACTCTAAGTTGTTGCCTGTGCATTTATCTGTCTCGGGTGCTTGGCTGTCTTTAAATAGTATCTGAACATCTTGTGCTTTTATGCTTGCTCTAATGCATCTTTGAAGTCTCTTAGCAGCTTATGTCTATGGGAGCTCTTCGTCTTTGATGGAGAGAAACAGGCACTTCTGAAGGGTGGGTCCCGTGGTCTATCTTAGATGCCATTTATTTTAAGAAAAGCTGCAAGCATTTGCCCTGGTGCAAATCCAGTGAAACGTCCTTGATTGGTTCCGTAAAGGCTGCTGTCTCCGTGTTGCACCAGGTCAAGGTTACCCTTTCCCGATGGTGAACCACAAGGAAGCCAGCGACCACAACCTGCAGCTGATGAAACAGGTCAGAGAGGAACAGTACAGAACAGCCCAGCTCACGAGAGGTAAGAGGTGCTGCAGCACTGGGATGTTCAGTGTACTGCGACGCAGAGGCCGTCACCAGCTTTGGGGGTTGGTTTTGTGTTGGTTTCCAGGATGCCTTTGCTCTTGGTTACCAACGCCATGTCCTGCTCTTCTAGTTACCGTTAAAATGGGAAACCCAGAGGTTGAGCAGTGTCCCTTCCCTTCTGGCTGCTCTTGCAGGATGGGAGCTTGCTTGTGCCGGCTGGAGGAATGCCTTCCCAAAAGCGGGCCTTCTCCACCTTCTGTAGGTCTGCACAAACAGACTCCCCAGCCCCCAGCTTTGCAAGGTGTTATCCCCGAGGTGCAGAAATCTCTGCAGCTCTGCCCACGCCTCTTGCGAACCAGAGCATCGTTGTTTGTCCTTTTTACCATCATCTACCCTGCCCTGTAGCAGGAATTATTTGAGATTCCCACTGACCACTAATTAGCAAAAAGCACTTAAATTTCTTAGAGCAGCTCAGCTCTTACCTTTTGAACTTGTTTTCTAAATAGGTTAAACACATGCATAACAAACGGGTAGTTATCAGGTAAGACTGGAATACTCAAACTTTGGGCTAGCCTGAATTAATTAGGTATTTCCAGTCACAGAGATGTTCCACTTACCTGGTACCTGGGCTCTTAAAATTGAAGTCCTAGGGCCTGTGATGAGCTTGTAGCCTCAGAGGAATCCTCTGCAGGAAGGAAAGTGAAGCAATGCTTTTGTATGCTGCCATAGCAGCCTCCATATATATTACAGAAATCCAACATGCAGCAGCCGAGGGGAGTTTTAAGTATTCCTGCCTCAATTGCTATGGTCAGAAGGAATTAATTGTTCCCACTCCTGTGCATACTCATGTATCCAGGAGGTTGCACATTGGTACCTTCCAGATATAACCGATGTATGCTGACAGTTCTTCCACAAACTTTTTGGTATAGGGGAGTAAATGTCGTTGGTGGAGTGAGAGTGCACTTCACTCTTATAAGAGAGAAGCAACAATACACTTTATTGATAGAAAACAGTGAGTTAACAAAGTTCAATGGTAAATGCGACAGTGGTTTAACAAGATCCCATGGCAGGGTACAGTGGATTATTTAGTGCACAGAGGACAGGGTCAGACAAAACTGTCAGGGAGACCCTCCCCGTGAGCCATGAGGTTCAGAAAGGACCCCTCTGCTTTCTGAACTCCTTCTCAGAGGGGAGTCTGGGTGCGGCTGGATCCAAACCTAGTCCCAGACTTGGTCAACGGTTTATGTCTAAAGGATTATAGATGCGCAATTAATCTTTCTATCACTTGGCTAAGATTTCAAAGTTTAGCATGCTGTTAGTCACTTACCGAGGATCTGCTGCGACAAGGAATCTCTCAACCTCGAGAAGTAACCTTGGGAGGCGTCCCTACTCAAGGGGAGATCCTGTTGGGCAGCCCGCTGCCGTGCGGGAGAGTGCAACGGGCCCTGGGCTGTCCACTGTTTATGGAGTAAGATGATTGACTTACAGTCATATTTGCATACCAGCGAGATGCCTGGGTCGCTACGCCAGACAGCCCTTGGCTACCGTGTTGCCATCCGTCCCCAAAGTCCCCATAAGCTGGATGCAGCCGTCAGGACCCCCACTGGTGGTCATTGCTTACGCGGGGTGGGGGGAGCACACTGCCACACTCCACCCCGTGACTACAGTCAATTCATCTTACCTTCACAGAGTGGTGGTACGGTCACCTCTTGCCTCTGTGCCATAAATAGTACATTGATAGTTTATGCGCTTATAGATCCACGGTAAGTAGATAGTGAAGCACGGCTCTTTGTCGTGCATTAATTTGTATGTTTGGGGTGGTTGGAGTGGGTTATTTGTTTTATCGTGTACCAAAACTTTATATACAATAGAATTATAAGTAATAGACATATTAGAGTTAGTAGAATCATAGAATCATTAAGGTTGGAAGAGACCTCCAAGATCATCGAGTCCAACCGTCAAATCAGTAAAATCACAAATCAGTAAAATCACAACTGGGTGAAGCATGAGATTAAACGCTCCCGTTGCTGTCGGTGACCATCCAAGAAGAGTTTCCCACCGATGGTGT